TTGACCTTCAGTTAACAAGTGCGGAAAAAAAGAAAAAACTACACATACCAAATGGCTCAGTGTGCGCATCTTAAGAAAGTTACTCTTAGAGTTGGAAGGTTTTACTTTTAATGATTCATCCCTCTATTATTTTTGCTATTTTAATAATCATAGTAAGCACAGATACATGGTGAAAATAGTTGAAAGCAGTTTTAACTGCGATTTACTATACGAGTTCATGCAACTCGAATTAATCCAACCAGAGGGATACACAAGTCAATTGTGCAACTATTGCGCCGATAAAATGTATTGTATTTCTGTTTTTGTAGAAACTTCTGTAAAAACCATGAAGCCCTGAATATTTTGTTTTTTTGCTAATTGAAACCACGCATGGAAATGTGTTATTAGAAGGAGGCAGTCTGAAGTTGACTTTTGATCAGCACAAGAAGCGAATCTTTGCCGCGCGCGTTCGGCATTTATCATGGTTGCTGATTTCATGCGCCAGCTCATTATATTTTTCTTTATTTCCATGCTAACTGCAAACAACTTTTCTGTTGGGAAACCTTTTCATGATTAAAACTCGATACTGTGTAGGTTTTTTTTTCTGTTACCTTACTGTATACTTGTAAATATTGTAATAAAATTGATATGCTAATTTTACCACTGGCAGATTGCAAACGCTATAGTCGAGCTGCTACCAAAGGCAAAAAAAGCAACACTTTTGCTAACAACATAGGAGAGATTTGTAAGAGGTAAAGCTAGTGTCAAGGGATCTTATTCTCTCACAGCATGGCGTTAGAGAGGTATTTATAATACAAAAAGGTATTTTGAATATAAAAGTTTGCAAGACTTCAAGTAATAGCTATGGTATTCACCAGTCTCTTTTCCTTGAATAGAGGTTAGACCTCAAAACTTCAGCAAGCTCTCGAATGGGTCAGCACAGAAGAGTGAAGAGAAAAAACATACAGAGATTGGAAGTTAAACGTTTGGAACAAATTTCGCAACGCACGCATTCAGCCATTTCCATTGTCTCACTTCACAAGAAAATGTCATTTATTTCCAAGAAAGATTGCGAAATACCCTCAATAAAAATAAGTCAGCACGTGTGGCAGTTTTTAGTTCAAAGACGAAAACTTGCGTAGTTTAATTGATTATCTTGTAATAAGTACATCTGAATAGATCTATTTCAGAAATTTTTTGTGGAGGATAAAGGCTTCTTTTACAAAACGTGACTCAGCACCTGTTTTGATCACAGCGTAGGTAACAAAAACAACTTTCTTCACTTTGTGAAATGTCATTCTCAATTCCCTTCTTGTTCTGATTCTTGTTTTTTTTTTCTTCTTTTCAAAGACACAACCTTTCATTGTATTTCCAATGAATATTTTGTACTAGAATGACTAAGTGGTAAACCCTCTAGGTATACTTATTAAATGATATAGGCAAACAGCTAACAGGTGAAAAGAAAACAAAACAAAACCAGTTGAAAAAATTATCCTCGGTGTCTTGGCCAAAATTTTTTCAAAAAGTACTAACTGTGCTCTTTGGTATTTATCGATCACTCAATCGTCACTTTTCTACCGAATGACTTAGGTCTACTTGACCTTAAACTTGCCGTCGATCTTTTAGATGTGAATGAATCGAAATTTGTGGGCATTGAAATTGTACATTATTTTTCAATTCATCGTTTCTTAATATTTAAGACGACTTGCAATGTTTTTATTTCACCTATTTATAGTAGTTTTTGTAATAATCATTTCAAGCTTTTTATTTTTTTTCCAGGTGCAAACGTTACCCCCTGTGCGTCAGCCATCCGTTATGTTTGCTGATTTGTATATGTAATCACATGAGGCCAAGTACTATTAAGGATTAATTGCACGAGAGTTTTCAAAATTTTCCAAAATTTGGAAAATTTTGAAAACTCAAGTGCAATTAATCCTTAATAGTACGAGGTCTCATGGGATTACTTGTTTATCAATAAAGGGCAAAATTTATACGAAGGAAAATCACGCGCGCAGTCTATTTTTAACAAATTTCAAGATAACGAACGGTTGCTATGCAACGGATTAGCCAATCATTAACAGGTAAACATGCCCTCTCTTGATTACTAAAAATGCCCTCGATTAAGAAAAAATGCCCTCTCTCTCAACCAATCAGCGCTCAGTAATTTTGCCCTTTATTGATAAAAAGGGTTATCTCAATTTAATTTTGTTGTCTCCGATCTTCTCCGCGGCCCACTTTTCTTGAAGCAAATATTTTTGTTATTTTCTTCTTGTTATTCGAAGGGATTTTTTTAATCCAAAAACTGCTTGGCAATAAAGTGGACCAAATATATTTGTCGAATCCCTGCTACACCTGTGCCTACACAACTTGCACGAGTCAGTGCATTCAATTGCACTGGTTTATGTAAAAGAAAGTTCAGTGCTCTGAAACCTTGCAGCGCTTTTTTGATACGATAAGTTTATCGCCATAACCTTTTAGGATTGTGTATCGAGGACAATATTTGTCACATTTCCACGCGCTTCCTTTGAACACCTGCTTCGAACGAAACTTCATTTCGATACCGTTCCTTCCCGTCTGTTTGGCTAATTTAGTCCCCCTCTGACTTAGCCGATTTGTTCCTGTTATTTCGTCGATCCTCACCTATCATTGACCAAGAACCCTTGGCTCTTGTCGATAAATAACTTGCCTTTGAGATCCTGATGATGATAATTCGAACCTAAAAAGCTAAAGAGTTTTAATAGGGGTTCTTTATTAAAAAAATTAGGATATTTTTCTGCCTTTCATGCAAAACTAGATTGTTTTCTGTTTATTTTGTTATCAATTATTTACTAGTGACAACTATCCAACTTTTCACTGCTTTTATGAGATATTTTTACAACGAGTCAGGAAAAACGAGTGATAAAAAGTTTTCAAACAGTGTCACTTGTAGGAATTCGGAGTTTAATCTGTTCACTAGTGCGCAACCTTAAAAGAAACCATGGATTAAACTGGAAATCACTAGAAGGCTTATGTAATATAGATTCTGTAAATGCTTTACTTAATTACCAGTCTCCGTGTAACCGCCGACCTCCAAACAAACTGGACAGTACCACTCAGTAGATAATAGGCTAACAAAGGTTGTAAGGCTTTCTCCTTAATCCCACTGGTTCCTGAGAAAATATATCTAAAGTTGAACAACGTTAAATATTTCAGTTGTTGTCACGCTCCGGGACGTCACGTAGGAGCCTCGCACACCTTTGTGAGTTAATATCTGAGGAAAATTCTGACCAATTTTCATGAAAACCCCAAAATTTTACACACCCTATTAACTCATTTAAGCAGAGGTTACCCGCGTAAAAACAAAAGTCGATTTTTTTGGCCTCCGAAGAATTTTTGTTTTCACATCTCATTTAAGGAAGTTCCGTAGGGTTTTTTGACCGCGCGAAATTTGGGTACGAACATAGCGCAAGCTTTAAAAGTGTCAAGATGCCAAACATATTGCGGCTCAATACGAGCGCGCGATTGTTATCTGGAAAACAGTTGAACACAATACATTATTTAGGTGATGGAATCTTGGGTTTCCAGCAACTGCACCCGTAATATTCATAGGCCTTCTACGTCTGAAAAAGAGGTCAACCGAAAAGAAAACACCGTGGGAAAGATTGCCAATAGTGTTAAAGACCCACTATAATTTTGAGGTTAGGTTAGTCTTCGAGGATTTAAATTTGCAAAAAGTGTTGAAATAAGAAACAAAGATATACATTATCGCGGAAAGGAAGACATGCAATCTTACCCGAAAAACAGTTGCTTGACACTAATATCATGAAGATCATACGATATGATCGATGATTTACGGGAGGAACTATCTTGGTTATCTGTTAAGAGTGAGGCTTCCAGGGATATGACATAATAGTCAATTTTCAGTTCTTATTGCAGCATTTACGCCTCGTGTTTTTATCGATTTCTTAGTTTTATTAACTGTTCGCAAATCGCAAAAGGAGAACAATTTGTTTTACAAAGAGTACCGCCCCCAGCTTTTGGTCGCACGTGACAAGAAACTAGTTGTTTATTGTCATGAAAAATGACATACATTATTATTGCTAACTCTTTGAATTAATTAATTTCCATGTTATTTTATCCTTGACAGCTTTTAAGGCTTCGCAGTCGTTCTCAGTCGCATTCTTTCTTTTTCTTTCTTAATTAACGACAGAATTTTATGCCTAAATCAAATTCTCTCTTCAATGACCAGCATGTTAAGTTAATACTTTTTTATCATTTTGAGCCAGACAAGTGATGTTTACAATGGTTATCAAGTAAAAAATTGTTTACCAGCAGTTCAATATTCGAAGGTAAATAAGATATCGAACGTTGTTGATGACTATGAGGTATTTTCATATTGAGAGCTGGTAAGAATTTTTTCTTTACTCTTGGATTTTTTTCTTCTTTGCAAGTCCGTCCGCTGTGGTGTGGTAAATAACTCAAACATATAGATTTTCATATAGCAAATAAACCTTGCCGAACTTACAGAATGGCACGGAGAGGTTTTACACTTGCAGAAGATCAAATAAACAGAAAGGAGTCGACCGTTGGGGATTGTTGTCACCTGTTGTCCGCTTGTTGAAGTAAAGTGAAGCAATCAAGCGAACAAGATTTGCGAAAAGATCGCTTTTAACCAGTTTGGTGAAATTAGGAAATTCCATTCCATTCAAACTCTGAATATTTACACCATACACCTACATTGGAAGCGTTGACAAAAAGAAATTTACCATTCCAATAGTGCTTGTATACCCTAAAAATACCGCGGTTTAAAACAGCTATTGGTGAATGAACATATATTTACAGAACTTAAATGACAATTAAAGGCGAAAAGTTTTTGAACACCTAAAAAATAAACAAGTTTTTGTCAACAGTACGTCTTTTCTGATATATTTAAATGTTATCGTTAGTTAGTCATATAAGTAGTGACTGAAAAGCCCTGTGCGACGTTGTTAACAGTATCTCTCTATGCTACTGAGTGTATAGATGTATGTAGTGTATCGGTGTTACTGCACCAGGATGTACCCCATGCCTGGAGTGCGCCTGTCCCCATTATCTCCTCCTACATATGCCACATTACCACACGCCACAGCGTCTTCAAAATATCCCCCTGTACCGAACCCTATCCTTGAGTCACAGGTCTTACAATCATTCTCCTGGTTAGCAACGATACCAATTCTTGCTTCAGAATGGTAAACGTCTAAACGGTTAACATCAACAGTATTGAATCCTTCCCTGTTACAATTTAACTGTAAGGAGGCATCTGAACCAATCAGACTCTTCCAGGTATCTCGACCAAGTGAGATGGCGCGGTATTGACCATCAGCGATCAGTGAGTACAGAGAGTCGGCCTTTCTGTCAATTACAGTGAACCTGAGCTGTTGTCCGATCTTCATACCGAGGCAGATCTTGGAGAAGGATGTATTCCAGTAGGTCGGTAACTTTGTCTCCTCCGAATCAAACCCAGACTCCCCTCCGGGGAGGTTGTATTCAATTTTATTGCTCCAGTACGGGTTGTTATAATGAAAGGTATTCTGTTAAAACGAGAGAAGTTCAAAAGTCGGTAGGCCATTCAGTTTCGCCAAAATAATTTCAACGGTTGTCAGTTTGAAATACATTATCCGATTTAACTTAATTTCCCGAATCACGCTGCACGTTTTTCTCAATAAACGGTCCTTCCTGCTGGCAAAATCAAGATTAATCTTACCTTGGTGCCGTCAATCTTCATGACCGGCGTCCATCCTCCATTTCCACATCCAAAATCTCTCATGTGACAAAGAACAGAGACTGGTTTGGAGTCCAGGTGGAGGGTAACCATTTCACTGACATTAGACCTATTTCCAATGGATCAATCAGAGGAAGCGAAATATTATGGGTTATCTTGATTATCATCAATCGATTGGTACGCCTGCTTTTAAACAATAAGATATTTGCTGGATTGTAGGAACATATAACGTCTCACTCCTTTCCTTATGCCATTGATAGAAATAAATCCAATCTTTCTCTCTAAGAAAACTTGAGGAGAGGCAGCCAAGGAAGGTAAGGTAAAGGCAGGCAGATGAATTCATTCTACATTAACACAGCGGTAAAATTATTGCACATGCGCACCATGGTGGATAATTTGATATTGTAAACAAGGAGAATCAAAGTTAGACGTAGTGTTTCGCAGTTTCTGAGGAAAGTTCGAACTTTCTAAGGCTGAGACTTCTACACATTGTTGTTCTGAACCTCACTCACTGTGTTAGTTTACACTCTCGTCCTTTTTATTTACACTTTTCACGGCGGGGCGATGAAGTTGTCCGTAAATTTGGCCGTGCTAGCTGTAGTTATTCTTTTTTGTACTCATGGCGGTAAACACCGAGGGAAATGCGCGAGAAAAGAAAGAACCAGAGCCACACAGGATATTTGTGACGATCACAAGTCAATGTTGATAGCGGACAGTGGACCATGCAGCAAGGGTAGAAGAAAGGTTCTCTCATTTTCCTTTATCACCGAAACGAAGCGTTCGCGTTAAAACAGTTGAGATATCTCACAATAAAATAAAGCCAAGATTTAATGTTCATCCAAAGTCCTTTTTTAAGTTGTCTTACGCATTGGAATAATTAGGAATTCAATCTTCTGTTCCTTACCGGTAACGCGAAACACGCGTTCGGACATCCCTCCTAACGTTTTCAAACTCTCGTGCGTGCGCAATGGTTGGCCGCTGTGTTTAATACATTAATTCTTTTAGTATGGCCTATAACTTACCTTTTGAAGTCATAGAGCGCCTTGCAAGACGTAATAGCTACGAGATAGAAATGAAATAATTTTTTTATCTGTGACTCAGTTATTCCTACTTAGCATATCTAGAGCCTAATTTCCTCGCAGTTGTATGCGTTTTGTGTATTTGTTGTGTTCATTTTTCTGTGCAGGAAATGTACCAGCTTTTCAA